AGGAAGAAAGGGGGAGGGAGAGGAAAAGGGAGAGGAGGAGGAGGAGGTGAAGGGGGGAGGAGGGGGAGGGGGAGGAAGAAAGGAAAGGAGAGGAGGGAGAAGCAGAGGGGACGGGGTTGGGGAGAAGAGTGACTGAAACTAAGAGCTTGCTCTAGCTGGGTCTGGAGGCCAGTGGCTGAAAGCTTGGTCTGTCTGTGGCACTCCTGGGAGGTGCTGGGGCCTTCGAGAGGTGGCCCTAGTGGGAGGTCCTTGAATCCCTGGGGATGTGCCCTTGGGAAGCACAGTGGGACCCACCCCTTTCCCTCTCCTGTGGTCCCTGGCCATGAGGTGAGCTGCTTTGCTCTGCCACATGCAATCACCAGGATGAGCTGCCCCAGCACAGGCCCAGAACAACGGGGCCAGTCAATCACGGAGGGAGATCTCCAAAACTGAGCTGCAGTGACACTCTCTTACTTATAAGCCAACTACCTCAGGCCTTTGTGACAGGGAAGGAGGACGACCCACAGTGCTATCTAAGTTTCTATAAATCACTGCGGCTCTGAGAGGTGAGGGCCGTCCATCGAGTCAGTCAGGAGCTGGGAGTCCAGCCCACGCCAGGTGACTCCAGAGCCTGGGGACATAGCTACCCAGAGCCACGGGGCCAGGACCGGGCCCGGGTGCACCCTGCACCCCGGCTTCTCATCTGCAGGCCTTTCTGTCGGGGGCAAGCGGCTTTCCACTCCCCAGAGGGTCTCGCTCTCTGGGTGAGGGTCTCAGGGCTCTGAGCCTTCTAAGGAGGACCAGAGGGTGATGTTACTCGACAGTTTTACAAGATATGACCACTGGGGAGATCTGGGGGGTCCATGGATCTCTGTTACTCCTACGCCTAAAGGCAAAGCTAAGATTATCTCAAAATTTTAACTTCAAAGAGAAAGAAAAAGAAAACTAGGAGTCTGATTCTAAGAGACTACTTTCCGCACGGTTTCCTTGCACTTGCATTTGGGACTAAACTACACGGAAACTTGGAATGTCCAAACAGCCCCCGAAGGGGAAAGGCCACGTCCTTCTAGAAAACCCAGCACTTGGGGATTCCTAGCCGCCACTGCCTCATGCGTTAGTAACGGTGACCTTCATTTACTTGAGAGAAATGTCCTCCTCCTGTCGACAGAGCCTGGCCTACTTCTAGGAAACACCTCACCTGTCTCCGCCCGCAGAACTTCCCCTACAGGATGGGGGTTAAGGGGTGAGCACTTAAACCTGATGTCGGAGACACCGGAAAAACGCATTTTGCAATGACCACAGCTGCCTGAGCGCGGCCTCATCCGTTCTCCATAAGTCGCTGCTAATGAGCTGACGGTGCTGCTCCAGGTTTGCCTTTGCTCTTCTGGGCCAGTGACTCACACCTGGAGAAAGGTACCTGAGCCCCATACCTTGTCCCCTCCCTGCTGGAGATCAGGTGACATCACAACACAGGCAGGTCCCTCGCTTACTGTCTCTCATGGTGTAGGCACCCCAGCATTCACACCATCAGAAGCAGGAAGCAGGGCGTAGGATAAATATTTTGAGAGACCGTGTTGACTTGACTTCTGTTACAGCATGGCGCTATAGTTGTTCTATTTTATTGGTTACATATTATGGATATTCTCTAACTGTGACTAACTTGTGAATTCTGCCTTATCCTAGCAGTGTGTGAGTGTGTGTGTGTGTGTGTGTGTGTGTGTGATGGTTGAGATATTAAATGTCTCTCAAAAGCTCATGGGTCAAAGGCTTGGTGTCCAGTGCCCCTCTTTGGTATGGGAAGTGTGGCCAGGCGAAAGCCCTCCTGCCTTGCTCCATGCTCCTTGGTGGCCATCCACCCCTGCACCTCTTTTGATGATAAGTCGCTGTATCAAGATCAGCCCTTGCACGTGGGGACACACGTAGCTAACCACTCCCCACATAAGAATCTGTCGTCCCTGATGGGAACAAGAGGCAACATGTGCCGGGCACCTGCCTGCAGGGACCTGGGCCAGGACCCTCCCACACAGGGCTCGATGGACACCAAGAGCGTCCTTGCAGGTTATCATCAGAGTCTCCATTTCAGAGGTGCCATAACTGAGGCCCAGGGAAGGATTTAATCTCCCCAGGTCAGAAGTCAGTAAGCAGCAGGGCTGCATTTCAATCCCCATGGTATGGATTCTGGTTTCTCGAGCCATGGAACCTTGCCCTGTCCATCTCAAAAGTGAAAAGGTCAAGGCCGAACACCGAGAGCAGTTAGAGGCCTCTGTAGACCCTCCCTCTGAGGCCAGGCTCTCCAGTGACTCCCCAGGCCACCCCTCTGAAGAGTCCACAGATGCAGGGTGCTACCCAAGTGCATGATCTGAAACGTGGCCACTGCCAAGGTGGACAGGGCCA